CGAAAGCACTGATATGCCCAAGATGAGAAGGAACAGCCTCGACGACAAGGATTCTGCTCAACTGCGGGCCATGTTGCGGGAGAAGAACGACAAAATCGCCATGCTCACCTCAGAGTTTGACGCTCATCGGGCAGACTTCCGCAGCACCATTGACACATTAGAGATGGCTAGCACAGAAACTGAACGAGTGTATGAGAAGCGAATCGAAGAGCTCATGGGAGACATCCGGGAGCTTGAGGCCAGAAACCTTGACGTTGATTCCGTCGCAAGCCAACTGAGACAACTCGAAGAACTTGTGCAAGAGCTCGAGGAAGGCTTGGAGGATGCTCGCCGTGGTGAGGCTGAAGCAAGAGGTGAGGCTGAGTTCTTGAGAGGCGAGGTAGAGAGAACCAAGACCGAGTTGCGACGAGAGCGTGAACAAAGCGGCCCTGGTGGTGGCACCCCTCACGATGACAAAGGGGCGCTGCTAAAGGAACTGGAGCAAAAGGAAGACGAAATCAGAGGACTGAAGGCCATCATCCACTCTCTCAGCAGGGACTCCATCGGGGACGCAGAGGACCGAACACCGACACAGCGCCGGGGGTCTTTCATGAATGGTGGCGACGACGGCGAGACGGCTCGTGCAAGCCTAGCAAGGCAAGTCGCAGAGCTGCAGTTGCTGCTGGACAAGAAGAATGCCCGGGAGGAAGAGCTTGAACAGGAGCTAGAGGCTCTTCGCGGGGGTAATCTTGCGACGCAGAAAAACTCGGGTCATCGCTCATCCCTCAGAGACTCCCGCGACACAGTCATTCCCGTCCGATTTTATGAGCCTATATCCCCCGAGGTGAACCACAAGAGGGAGCCTAACCACAGGCGAGGTAATACACTGGACACAATGCATGAGAGCGATGCTTACTCAACAGCCACGGAGAATAGCACTCTCTGGTGTGAGATTTGCGAGACTGGTGGGCATGACATTTTGACTTGCACAAACATGTTTGGTCCAGAGGGCGCCAAAGCTGCCAGAGACACAAAGATGGGCAAGGATGTTGTTCGCGAAGGCCTGAAGCTTCAAAACTCTCTTGGCGTCAAGGACGCCCACCCGGCTCCGCTCTCGCCGACAAAACCCAAGGCAGCATTTCCTGCAGCTCCTGCTATCAAAATCCTCCCGAACCCGATGGAATCTGGGCCGGTGGCGGGCAAGGAGAGTGGAGTTGTTGACACAGGGAAGTGGTGTGCAGTGTGCGAGCGAGATGGTCATGATAGTGTTGACTGTCCGTTTGAGGATGCATTTTAGGCTTTCGACAACGTGGATGATGATTGCTTGATGAGGAAGATATGTATGCCTGTTGGAGTACAGTGGCGAATGTCCTCGCCCTACGAGGTGAGTGTGTCACTTCATGGAGCGCGTTGCTTGGACAGTCACGCGGGCAGCAGAAAACACGAGACACTCACCACTCACTTACATAGACAGAGTGTCTCCTGTTTTCTGCCACTCCCTTGACAGTATACTCTTTTTTATTGATACCACCATACCCCATTTTCTTTATTGATGAAGGAGCGGCGCCCCGTGTGTTGTTTGGGCATGGAAACGAGATTCTGTAATAATGAACTACTGTATAACATTCTACTCTACATACCCATATCATCATGATTCCAACTTTTCCGGTATGGCATGGCGTTCTGCCTTGGTAGCGATGCGATGTGTTGATCCCCGGTGAGATCAACAATATGCATTAGTATTCCAACTTTGAAAGGGTGCGCGCAGTTATTACTAAGGCGGTTTAGGGGTTTAGGGAACTCTAGTCAGTGCCAGTTCGGAGTTAGCTGAAGGTTAGTGGGACCCCAGGGTCAAGATGCCACATGATCCCTGCGAGATGTGATTCCCTGCGAATCGTGAGGGCGCGCGTCTGGATCCAGAAAGAATTCAATGGTAGGCGGAGGACGGAGAATGAGTACCCCGTACGGACATGGATGGATTCGTTGCTGATCGAATATACTACATGGATTAATCCGTATGGCAGCGCACTCTGAGCCTCACTTGCCGATGCAGGCGGGGACAGCCAGGCTGCAACTGTTAGTGTGTGACATCCAGGTATTTTTGTCAGGGCGCCATTTGCCAGGCTCAATTTTCTAAAAAAAGATGGCTACCCTCGGAAAAAGGCCTGTAATACATTTTCATAGCTGCTTCAGTGCGGATTCTCCTCATATAAAACCACTTTATGGGTGCTGTGTCGTTCTTGTCCGGGGGTTGTGTCCTTTGCGCTCACGTCTTGCATTATCAGCACCGCCACAGACTCGACTTTCTTCGATAGATTTCCATGAGGCGCACAGCCTTTAGGGCGGACCCCTGCAGCGTCTTCCGTCCTAGGGGAACGAGACTTTGTTTTTTTTGAACTCCAAGTTTCCCAGGAGCCGCTTTCGTAAACTTCAAACCTGGTCCCTTTGTTATAATCTCATCTCTTCTCCCTCCCACTTCAGTCCTCTTCCTTACCTTTATCCAGGCTTGAACAGGTTAGCGACCTTCCCGATCTCCAAGCACCAAAGAACCAGACGACCTTTTTCTTTGCTCCTTCATATTTTCGTTCAGAGCAACCATTGTTGCAGAGCATTTGTCAAGGGCCGCCGACGCCGCTTACTTTTGGCAAATTTCTCAGATAGGCGCCCCGCCACAGAGGCTAATAAACGCATTCATCTCCCCGTCTCTGTCTTGATTGATCACAGGGTACGTTGAGACAGTCACTACTTGCACAGTCGCTTGCTTTGGATATTCGCAGCGCGAGACCAGCCGTTATATTAGACGCCGCCGTGGTCGCGGCGATGCGTCTTGCTGTTTGACCAGAGCCTCCCCTCCTGCCTTTGCCGCCTCACGCATCAGTCGCTCTCTGTTGGTATCTGTACATGTTGACTAATACTTGGTCCCCCTTCCACCAGACTCAACATAGCTGCGATCACACTCCGGACTAAAAGAGTTGGCCATAACCAACACTTCGCGCCCCGACAGAATTCGATATCTTTATCTCAACTTCCACTGCCTTTGCTCACTAGCTCCTTGAGCCCGTCAACATGTCAAGCGAAGACTACTACGTGATCCTTGGGGTATGTCAACACGCATATCGTGTCCTCGCAATAACTATCGAAAACAATGAAATGATAATAATCTAACGTTTCTCTAGATCGAGCGTAACGCATCAGAGGCTGAAATCAAGAAGGCTTACAGAAAGACGGCTTTGCAAAACCACCCTGGTATGTGGCCATGAAAATCTATTTTATTGTCGTCTCCATCATTCGCATCGGTCTAACAAACAACACAGACAAAAACCCTGGCAATGCCGAAGCCGAAGCAAAATTCAAGCTCGCCACAGAGGCATACGAAGTCCTTACCGACCCTCAAAAGCGATCAATCTACGACCAGTACGGTAAAGAAGGCCTTAATGGCGCTGGGGGCGGCAGCGGAATGCCCGCCGAGGACCTATTCGCCCAGTTCTTTGGGGGCGGTGGTTTCGGTGGCATGGGAGGCATGTTTGGCGGCGGCGGCAGTCGTGGTCCCCCCAAGGCTCGCACCATCCACCACACTCACAAGGTCTCTCTCGAAGACATCTACCGGGGAAAGGTTTCCAAGCTGGCTTTACAGAGATCCATCATCTGCCCCAAGTGCGAGGGCCTTGGCGGTAAGAAGGGTGCTGTTAGCAAGTGCGCGGGCTGCGACGGCCATGGTATGAAGACCATGATGCGCCAGATGGGTCCCATGATTCAGCGCTTCCAGACTGTTTGCCCGGATTGTAACGGTGAAGGTGAGATCATCAAAGAGAAGGACCGTTGCAAACAGTGCAATGGCAAGAAGACGATTGTCGACAGAAAAGTCCTGCATGTCCACGTCGATAAGGGAGTACGCAGTGGCACCAAGGTCGAGTTCCGCGGGGAAGGTGACCAGTCCCCCGGAGTTCAGGCTGGCGACGTTGTTTTTGAGATTGAGCAAAAGCCTCACGCTCGATTCACGCGCAAGGATGACGATTTGCTTTACAAATGCGAGATTGAACTCGTCACTGCCTTGGCTGGTGGTACCATTTATATTGAGCACCTTGATGATCGCTGGCTTGCTATTGACATATTACCTGGCGAGGCTATTGCTCCCGGTGAGTTTTCATACCCCATACACACAGTGTCTTCAAGACGACGTGTATATTGACTACTTCTTTTTAGATTCCATCAAGATGGTCCGTGGGCAGGGAATGCCATCGCACCGCCACCACAACTTCGGTAATTTGTTTATCCACTTCAATGTCAAGTTCCCCGAGAAGAACTGGACTCAGGATCAGGCTGCCTTCGACGCCCTCCAGAAGATCCTCCCTCAACCGTCTGTTCAGAACATCCCTCCCACTGACGCCATGACCGAACCCGCCGATCTGGAAGATATGGATGGCCAGTCACAGAACCGAGTCTTTGGCAGCCCTGGCATAGACGAGGACGAAGAGGAGGGCCACCCCGGCGCCGAGCGTGTCCAGTGCGCTTCACAGTAACCGGCTGGGAAGACTGATCTTGGCGAAACTTTTGACTACATAAAAGTTGTTGACAGCAACCTGGGGGCTGTACAATTCAATATGCCTGCTCTTAGAACAGGGAGAGCCGAGGTCACAGGCATTGCCGACAATATAAACGAACTACTACTAGCGCAGCGCATGTGAATCTTCTGATTTGAATCACGCAGCGCATCGTTTCTTGCGATCTCATCGATACCACACCGAAGAAAGGGCATAATGAGCAGCTGTGGCCCCACGCAGTTATGGGAAATACGAAGCATGAACGGGGGGAGGTGGTGAAGCAAGGCTGCGCTCTTAGTCGCCATTGTCTGCCGGAGAAGCTGTGAGCGTTTGATCTGGTTGGTTGGCGTTTAGAGGATATAGATGATTCGACGAGTTTTGGTAGTTGCAGACTTAGACCTTGCGTTACGTTGAATTTTGATTTTCTTTTGAATCCAAGTATCGTGTAAGATTTGTTTCATGGTTTACATACACATATATTTATGCCTCGGCGGGACTAGCCTCTACCTCCCCATTGCCCTCTGTTGTTCCCGCATCCTCACCACCACCTCCCTGTTTGCGCAAGTTTTCAACCGCATAAAACATGTTGCGAATTTCGCTTTCAGAAACTTGCATCTCTGGCCCATCACTGCGTTGTCCATGAATAGGTATCTCCACATCAGATGACAGTCGGTGCTCAGTCCGTGTGAGAGTGTATGCGTGTAGACTCTTGGCCTGTACATTTGGGCCTGGGTCCATGGCCACGACGAGTTTGAGGGCCGTCTCGTTGGAAGCGGAGGCGATGGCAATGTGCAGCGGGTTGCAGGGGAGTTGGATGATGCCCGGGTTTTTGAGTTCGTTTTCCGGTGTTAGTTGCCATGTAAAGATGGCCGGAATGCTGTCGATTCTATTAATACTCTGCCAAGCAATGTTGCTCTGAATACCTAAACTTACTCTTCGCATATGGCGAGAACATATGTCACGCCGCCTTCCTCGGGGTACACCAGTGATGTCAGGCCCGAAACAGCGATGCGCGTCGTTTGCGGCGCAATCTCCCGCGCCAAGGCTAGCAGGTTCGTCTTGGAGAGGACGCGGCCTGCTTTCCAGTCCCAGATGAACAGCTCCTCGTCTCCGCCTCCGGAAACGAGGACGTCCTCTCTGCGGAGGGGGATCGTCATCTCGCTGATGAATTCTTTGTGCCCGAGGCAGAAGCCCTCGATGATGTGGGCTTGCGGGATATAGCGCGACACGCGGATGTGTTCGTCCCTGTCGGCCGTGAGGATGTATTTCCGTCCCTGGGTCTCTGTGACGATCAGAGACGTGAGCATGGACACGTGGCCTAGTAGTAGGTGTGACTCGAAGACTGGTCCCTCGGGCTTCGCTTCTGCCCCCTTGGATCTTTCGAGCTCGATTTGCTTGCGCTGGTGCTCGAGGGCCTCGAGATTTCGCTTGGAGTGGACGGTGAAGGTGTTGGCTGCTGGTTCCGTCAATGATGGTTTGGGGGTGGGCGCAGTGCGAAGAGCGAGGCTTGATGGTGATAGGGGCGTCATGATGAGTGGGAGGGCGTATACGTCGCCGAACTTGTCGGCGACTATGATTTGAGAGCCTGGCCCGGTGGTGATGGCGCTGGGGCGTTTGGGCATGACTCTGGTTCGTGTTAGTCTTGTGTGTGTATATCAAGCGTGTTTATTTTCTTCTTCTTTCTTTTAAAAGACATGTTGTACCTTTGGCTGAGCTGAGTTAGTTGACCCTCGCCGTCGTGCTCAAACACCCAGACAGACTTGTCATGTCCCGACACGGCAATGAGATGTTTCCCGTCATCTGTACATGTCATGAGTGTGATGAGAGGGCGGTCTACCACCCTTCCCATTCGTGACTTATCACCGTGATTATCGCCCTTTCCCTTTCCTTTACCCCCTTTGCCCTTTTTTTGCACGTTTTCCTCTTTGGTTGCAGTGGCATCTCCTACGGGAAAGTTCAGATCGCCTTCAGCAACTTTCTGTCTCTTGGCCGGCGGCTCACTTTCTTCCGTTTCGGGGACATTTTCGGCATCTGTTGGTGTTTTGGTCTCATCCTTAGGCTCCGTTTTTGAGTCAGATTCTCTGATATGCTTTTCTATATCGGGGTGTTGCCATGTTGATATGTGATTATGGTCTGAGAGGTTGAATGAGTGAATCTTGCCACCGCGTGTGGCAAAGAGAATATTGCCTATGGTCTGAACCCGGTTATACGGGATTGCCGTGAGACTCATTTCGAGGGATATATATAAAGGGGCCGACAATTGACCCAATGGGTCTATTTTCAATGTTGTTCAGTTGCCCTGACTTGCAAGTTTTACATCGTTATAAGGCAAAAAACTTGATATACCGAGGCTCACCTCCAGAAAAGAAGGTACATTCTACATGTCGCTTTTTCCTACGTCTCTCTGCCTGGCATTTGGTTGGTCGTCGGGACACTCAGAAGTGGGCACCACAGGGTGAGTAGAAAGAAACATGTGACTATTCGTTGGAGATGACTCGCGTGGCCCACACTTTCCTAATCCAGCTTAGTCCAGGCAAGCCCTAAGCTGCAACAAACGGGCCGGGGTGTGGCTCGCATAGCACACATTTTCGTGACTGGCGAAACAAAATCCGAAATTTCGCCCACCCTCGACGAGCTGGTTCGCGACAACACCATCACGCAACCTCATCATCAAATCCCCTTCTCCGTACATATACCCCTTGCCCTAAAAAATCCTGCCTTCACAAATAAGAAGATATGGGGGGCAAGACTGCTAACAAGGCCGGCTACTTCGACAAGCTCAAGGGCTTGCTCGAGGAGTACCGTTCCGTCTTCATCGTCTCGATTGACAATGTCAGCTCGCAGCAGATGCACGAAGTCCGCCACTCCCTCCGTGGAGATGGTGTTGTCCTGATGGGCAAGAACACTATGGTATGTGGCAGTTCCTTGAAAAATAGAGGGGCAGAACCCGAGCCATTAAACAGTTGGGGCAAATTCCCCTGGGAAATTTTCCCAAGCGATTCGATTTTTTGCTAACCAAGTTTGCTGCCAATAGGTTCGCCGTGCCCTCAAGACCTTCATCAACGACACTCCCGAGTACGAGCGTCTTCTGCCCTTCGTCAAGGGCAACGTCGGCTTCGTCTTCACCAACGGTGACCTCAAGGAAATCCGTGACAAGCTTCTGGCCAACCGTGTCGCCGCCCCTGCTCGTGCTGGTGCCGTCGCTCCCGTCGATGTCTGGATTCCCGCTGGCAACACCGGCATGGAGCCCGGCAAGACGTCCTTCTTCCAGGCCCTCGGTGTCCCCACCAAGATTGCCCGTGGTACCATTGAAATCACCACCGATCTCAAGCTCGTCGAGGCCGGCAACAAGGTCGGCCCCTCCGAGGCCACCCTGCTCAACATGATGAACATTTCTCCCTTCACCTACGGTCTTGGAATCGAGCAGGTCTACGACCAGGGCCAGGCCTTCCCCGCCGAAATTCTCGACATTGGCGAGGAGCAGCTCCTCGGCACCCTGTCCAAGGCCATCACCACCATTGCCACCATCTCTCTGGCCATCAACTTCCCCACCCTGCCCTCGGTCATGCACTCCGTCGTCAACTCCTACAAGAACATCCTTGCCGTTGCCGTCGAGACCGAGATCAGCTGGCCCGAGATTGAGGACCTCAAGGACCGCATTGCCAACCCTGAGGCTTACGCCGCTGCTGCCCCTGCTGCTGCCGCCGCCTCTGGTGGTGCTGCCGCCGCTCCTGCCGAGGAGGAGAAGAAGGAGGAGTCGGAGGATGAGGATGAGGAGGGTTTCGGTGGTCTCTTGTGCGTGCATTCTCCCTTCCTGGAGGATTGCTCTGAGCTTGTACTGACTTTTGCTGCAGTGACTAAACGGCATCCCGGAATGACGGCGTTGGGCTGGCTTTCAAAATCTCGGTTGGGTTTACGATACATGCATCTTCCAAAAGGTTACATAGGTCGCTTGATGGTCAGCCAGGATATCTGGAAATGTCCTCTTGACACACGACACGTAATGAAAGCTATGCCTCACATGACGACTCATACAAATGATTATGTGAAACGTGATGAAGCCGGTTCGACGTTTTGCTTCACGCTATATACGAAAAGGTTAGTTGCTATTTTTTTTTTCGTCAATCGACATGATACAGCTTTTTGGATGATTATGAAACAACTTCAAGAGCTTTTTAACCCTGAATATCTCCTGATGACACAAGTATCACCACCCTATGACCTCTTTTTGTTATTTATACTACTTGTATTGCCCTTGTCTTCCAGAGTATTGGCTAACGTGAGAAAATAAATAAAGTGTAATCGTAATGATAACATCTACATCCTAGATTCGCTATTGTACATTGTATTGTGTACACGCCCATCAATTAGCCCCCGACGCAGCACATGTAGAAAACGTGCTGGTAACGCCCTGTGCTTCGAGAACCTGCTTTGCAGTATCCATGGCTCGCTCAGGCAAACCCGCCAGCCTGGCTACCTTGAGAGCATGGCTCCGTCGATTTATGCCCTTCCGTAGCTTGTGAACATATACAAACCCTCCTTGGTTATCTTCCTCCACGTCGGTGCAGTATAGTTGTACCGGACCACCATCGACTTTGCATAGTCCATCTGATGCCGCCAGGTCAGCGACACCATGAAAATGTGTCGCGAACAGTGTTCTGCACTGATTCACCGTGACCAGGTGGTGCAAACAGGCATATGAGACGGCGGTGCCGTCCTCAGGCGTAGTCCCCCGACCAATCTCATCCATGATGACAAACGACCGCGGCGTCGCTTGCTTAAGAATCTGGGCCGTTTCCAGCATTTCGACCATAAAGGTGCTCTGGTCGCGGTACAAGTTGTCCGCGGACCCGACACGACTGAATATGGCGTCTACGATGCCCAGCTCCGCGTACGAAGCGGGTACGTAGCATCCGATCTGGGCGAGGATAGTAATGAGGGCGTTTTGCCGCAAAAAGGTGCTCTTTCCTGCCATGTTGGGACCCGTGATCAGCCAGAGCAAGCCGTCTGGTTGGCTTCCGACAAAACAATCGTTCCTGACAAAGCTTCGGCCTTGCTCAACCAGGCCGCCTTCAACGGTGGGATGTCGCCCGCCAATGATGGTGTGCGTTGTAGAGTTGTTGAGCTTGGGGCGAACGAGGTTCTGCTCAACGGCTAGCCTGGCGAAGGATGTTGTGATGTCGAGTTCGTCGAGGACCGCGGCATTTCGGCGCAGCTTGACGAGGTTCAGGACCACCTGTTCGCGAAGGGATTGGAACACCTGCTGCTCTTCTCGGCGGATGTGGAAGCGCGCTTGGTCAAGACGTTGGCCTAACGCCGTCCATTCTTGCAAATGGAAGGACCTGGTTGAGCGGCTGGACGAAAGGGCTCGGATGTCGGTGAGGTTTTTGGTATCCTTCCCTTTTATATGTGCAATGTGGCCAAGGCCTGGGCTCCACCGCAGCGTAAGGCTAGACGCACCGAGTTTCTCGCGAAGAGAGTTACTTAGTTTAATCTTCTCATCTAGCAGAGAAGAAAGTTGCGCGTGGAGCCTTTTCAGGTTGGTACTCGCACCAGGTTTCATGATCCAGGCGTCGTTGTCTTCGGCGTAGTACTCCTTGATAGATGTTGGTCGTTTCTTTTTGCTTTTGGGTAGGGATGATGCATCTTCTTGAGATCCCTCGGTTGCGACAATGTCCTGGGCGAGAGCGAGCATCTGGCTTGCCTCGGAGTCTTCTACTTCATGTTGGTGGACGATCCCTTCTTCGTCGATGGCGTCTTTGATTCTGCGAGCTAGTTTGAGTGGCTGGGTGAGATCGATACGCGATAAAAGCCCCGAAAGACACTCGTTCTGTGCCACATCAGTACCTGAAGCTGCTGCTTCGTGGAGTAAAGTGACGATATCTTCCGTGGCTCGTATAGTGTGTGCAAGTGCTAGAAGGTCGTCCGCATCGCCTCTTCCCAGAGAAAACTTCTGGACTAGTCGTTGCGAATCGTGGCTCCGTCGAAGGAGCATAATGATGGAATCACGAAGATGCTCGGCAGCAATGAATCTTGCAACCAAGTTTTGTCGCGTGTTGATGACATCAAGAGATGTGGAGGGCGAGCTGAGCCATTCATTCAACAGTCTTGCTCCGCTCTTTGTAACTGTTCGTCGAATGGCATGTAAAAGACTCCCGCGAAAGAAGCCATCCCGGATCGTTTGCTTGATTTCCAGGGCCCGCAAACTGTTTTTATCAATATTCATGATTTGCATGCTCTCGTGTCGCAGAGGCGGCAGAAGCCTCATGGTCATTCCCTGGAGTCGTCCCTTGACATAACTTAGGACAAGACCACCAGCGAGGACTTCCTCGCTTGTGAAAGTTTCCCGGGCACTCTCTGGTACTTTTGATTCCAATAATGGCATCCAGTCTCCCATGTCCGTCAGGCCACCACTGGAAGAGTAGGTTATTAGATGTCTGTCCTCGGCTAGGATCGAAAAGATGCCATGATCCTTTTGGGACTCGATGTTCTCGTCCAAAACGACTTCTCGAGGACCAATACGGGACAGTATTGATGGTAGAGAAGCCAGGTCTGCGGACTGCGTGAAGAAATGGCCCGTCGACAAGTCCAGCCATGCCAGGCCAAGTGGCATTGGACTTGCCGGAGGTGAAACGCGAATGCCATGGTCCTCAACCATGGCAGACTTCAACTTTGGTGCCTCTTTGCTGTCGACACAGTGTATAGCCAGGACATAGTTGTTCGCATACGGATCAATAAAGTTTTCATCAATCAGGGTGCCAGGGGTAATAATTCGAGCCACCCTCCTGTCATGCATCAAGCCTCCAGACTTGACCTTGTCTGCGGCGTCATTGGGAAATTCCTCAGCTATAGCCACGTAGCGATTCAGGTCCTGGACTAGAATCTTCAGAAACCGGTCCAATTGGAAGAAGGGGAAGCCAGCCTACGATTGACATTGTGAGCTGCAAGATTCCAACCAAAATATATGGGGTTGGCTTCGTCTCTTACCATTGGTACGGGTCCAGCGTTGGTCTTTTTAGATGCCAGCTTAAGATTCAGCAGGGGAGCATACTCATCGGCGTGCTCAAAATACAATTCGTAGAAGCTGCCGACGCGGGTGAGAAGCACGCAGTTCTCAAACTTGCGCATGTTGCGGCGTGCCTGGAGCACTACGGTGGGATAGCTGGGCTCACTCTCCTCTTCTTCAAGGGGTTTGAATTCGGATTTGATTGGGCCCTGGGGCAAGTCACACAGCTTGATGGTGGTTTTGGTCTTTGCGCCGCGACATTGCAGTTGACGAGGCGCGCCGTTTGAGGGCAAGGTGGACGATTGTGCGAATAGAGGATACAGGCCGCCACGACAAATTACGATTCGGGCTCCGTGGTTTTGCAACAGTCGAGCTCCATGGAGACGGAGTGGCGGGAACATGGGAGCTCGGATCCCCTGACTGCTCCGTGTAGCTGGCGATGTTGATGCAGGCTGGATGGAGTTGATGGAGATGGCGATGCGGTCTCGCTGCTCCTTGTCGATATTCTTGTGGTTTCTGGTGTGGAGCTTGCGTCGTGTGCGGTTCGGAAGTAGGTATTGATTACTCTGGCAAAACTCGGCTCCAGAACTAAGAGTGTCGATAGAGGGCAGCTTGAATCAAATATTAGCTATGGAATAATAGTAACAGCTTCATGGTATATTTATCTACTTATTTTTGCATTTCTACCTCAGTCTAAAAGTTGGCAGTATTGCTTTTGTTCTGTCCTTGATTGTTCCATGAACTTGACACAAGTGGTGGTCCAGTCAGCAAGGGCCAGCAAATGACATCGGCCAGCACAGGCGCGCAAGGATCAAGACGTATGGGCGTCAAGACAGTAGTTGGCAAGTGTACATGCTCAGACAGAATACTCCTTTGTTCATATTCAATTGCACGTTTGCATGTTTAAATTGGGAAACCCATATGGCCATGCCACGGAGAGTACTGTTGGCATGTATCTAGGTACCTACCTACCTAGGCTAGGTACCTACCTTGGTAGGTACCTAAGGTACTTAACCAGATTAGGTACCTGGGTACCGCGTCTTATTCTACAACGTATACAGTATATTTGTGTCTACTTAGGTACTTTCTAGCTACAGGCTGTAGCTAGTACGGGTGGATACTAACTACCTAGGTACCTAGGTACCTAGCAGTTTCTAGATCAATACTCGATCAGCCCCGATGCGAGAAGCTTACAACTTATCAGAATCAAAATACGGTTGCAAAGAAAGTACTAGACGAGTTTATTCGCAAGAAAATCGCCCGGCGCAAAAAACCTGCAACCACAAGCTTCGAGCCATATATGACGGGGCCTCGTGGTTCCAAGCTGTAGTGGCAGATTCCGAGCTGGTCGAGTGCAAACAACATGGAACCGTGATTCTCCTGGTTGACAGGTTTCCATCACAACGACTACGAAGCCATCTTCAGACGCAAAAGACACATGTACGCCTCGCTTCTTTGCCTTTGTACTATCCGTCATTGTTTCGAAAATAACACACCGATACTGCCACCCGGTCGCAAGTGCGTGCGTACGCGAAACCTCCAACAGATCAGCAATTGGCGTCGATACACGAATGCGCTTGCCCCGTGACGCAAGGCCAAGACGTTCGCTAGACGACAGCATGTGTAGCGTATAACGACGTCTGGGGACATGGACTGTTGCTTGGGCCAATATCTAAAGAAAACACCGGAGCTGCGTTGTGCTGCCTCACGCTTCTGCATTCCTTCAGCATCTTCTTTCTTGGCACCGCAACGTCGGCATTCGGCCGGGAACCTTTGTCCTCTGCTTTCCCTATTGCAGCCGTCTGGCATCTATCGACCTTTGTTTGTCTCGCGACAACCCCCCAACGCATTTCTGCCGTCCGCCTGATACCCGGTCGGTCCCTGGTCGCATGTCGTCGGTGCATCGCTTCCCCGAAACCTGTACTTAGTCTTCGGAACGCTTGCCTTCGCCCTCCGACTACCTAGCACCACACACCAAAGCCTCGTTGGAGTCGATACCGAATAATAAAATAGAATTACATAGCAGCGATACTGTTACCCTTTGTCACGATGAGGTTTGTCCATCCCAGTGTTGCTTGTTTGGCCGAGAAAAAAATGAGACAGTCCGTGACATCCTCTCCGCACGCCACATCCGCTCCACAATCTCCCGAAGCCGATGCAGCATCCACATCGA